TCTACCTTCCCAAATCCTAAACAAGCAACACAGGGAGCTTCCACATATGAGGGAGAAAGTGGGTAGTTGTCTCTCTGTGTCTGTCTTCTTTCACTTTACACAGTGTCCTCCCATGTTACTATAAATGACAGGATTTCATTCTTCTTTATGGTTGAACAATCTTTCACTGTGTATATATACTACAATTTTTTTTGACAGTACTGGGGTTTGAACTCAGGGCTTCATGCTTGCTAGGCAGGTGGTCTACCACTTCAGCTAGTCTGCCAGCCCTTTTTTGTGTTGGGTATTTTTGAGATAGGGTCTTATGAATCATTTGCCTGGGCTGGTTTTGAACCATGATCCTCCTGATCTCTGACTCCTGAGTAACTATGATTACAGGCGTGAGCCACCAGTGCCCAGCTCTGTATTCCACATTTTGTTTATCCACTCATCCTGTGATTAGTGCTGTGATAAACATGGCCATGTTGATGTCAATTTTTAAGGCTAATTTTCTTCTTTGGAACAAGCCTAAAACCTTTCTGATGGATGTCCCATCCTTTTCCTTTTTCTGTTTTTCCCTTGGTTCCTGCCACTCTGTAAGGCCAAGCCAAGAAGGGTGTTGCCTAGTCAAAATCATGGAGGTGAGATTTTCTCTTAATTACCTTCAGTTGGATAGGAGGAAGCACTGTTGTTCATTTAGAGGAAAATACTGTCTAGATCTATAATTATAAGAGAGGAGAAATGTGGGAAGGTCTCCACACTCCCTTCCATGACAATGGCAACAGTTTAGCAAAGCCTAGAGACTTCAAGATCAAGGAGAGTTCAAGTTCGTTTTCTCATGAAACAATGTAACTCAGCCCTAGGTCTCATTTTTTGCTACAGGGTTAAGGAATTGCCAAATTTCCTTTCAAGACCAGACAGGTAGTTTCCATACTCCAAAGTTGGTTACAACCTCCAGCCCACAAATGTCTTATCGTCTAAGTTAGAAAGTAGCTAAGTAAATGAAGTCAGAAATATTTTGAAAGTTAAAGCAGCTGAATTAAACGAAGGGTTGCATTTCTGGGATGCTATGCTTTCTGGACTCCTGAAGGTGAAGGAAGAACAAGATAATAGGCTCTTTTTAAAGAGCAAGTAGGTGAACTACCTATATTTGTTTCCTAGGATTTCTCTGGTTTTAAGCACACAATGTCCCATTCCAGGAAACCCCTCAGTATTGCGCAAACTGGGACATTGAGTCACCTTAAAATAAATATTGGATTCATTTGTGATTGACAAAATTAAAATTCAGTGGAAAAGGATACATACATGATTTTTATAATTATGTTTTTGGGGGTGGGCAGTACTGGGCATTGAACTCAAGGCTTCACACTTTCTAGGCAAGAGCTACCTGCTTGCCCTTTTTGCATTGGTTATTTTTGAGATTGGGTCTTGCTTTATGTTTGGACTGGCCTGGACTGTGACTCTCCTATTTATGAATCCCAGCTACCCATATAGCTGGGATGACAGATGTATGCCACCAAACCCAGCTATTGATTGAGATGGGGGGGGTCTTGTGAATTTTTTGCATGGGCTAGCATCGAACTGTGATCCTTCTGATCTTTGTCTCCTGATTATCTAACACTACAGGTTTGAGCCACCATTCCCAGCTTGCATTTTTAATATAAGAATAATATAAGTAGAAAATACGTAGTGACTAAGTGCTGTTATGGATAAGCTGTCAATATCTCGGCAAATCCTGGTCAGCTTGTCGTGACATGGGTCATTTGGTAGTACTTATTCTCATTGTAAATCTGGTCCCTAGAAGGAAATAATTAGTCCTTTACAGGGCTCTTATGAAAAAACCCAAGCCTTGAAGGAACACTGAACAGGCCAAGAAAGGAGAACATTTCCAAAGAGAGTTTAACATTGTTAATGATGGGAGGCCACAGATGAGAAAGGGTGAGGTGACCTTTTAGAGAGCAAGACTGATGTCATGATGGGGATAGAAGCCAGATTCCTGGTCCAAGGAAGGAAACAGTAGAGAGGAACCTGACCACCCTAAAGCACATATGTAAGATATTTTACAGGGAAAGGGAGTAAGACAATGGGACTGTAGCCAGGGTATTAGCACGGTCAAGAGAGAACTCTTTCAACATGGAGAAAAGCAAAGTATGTTGAAGATGGAGCAAGAGAAACCAGCTGTGAAAGCTCACTGGAGTTTGTGGCTAGTCTTACTTAGCAAGGGATGAGAAAAAAACACCCTTACACACCCCTCCCATTTCAGACTGACATTGACAGATATGTAAATGGCAGACCCTTATCTGGCTTGCCCAGACTCTTCCCTCTACCTTGCCATATCCCTTTGTTTTGGGGGGGGGGTTGATGTTTTGTTTTTTGGAAAACCTTACCATTTGTAGGGCTTGGAGTAAGAGTACTGATGAGGTCATGTGGGCACACAGCTACAGTCAAGCTCCACTCACAGACCCCAGGCCCAGGGGTGAGCTTATGCCAACTATTTTTGAGTGACTTTGAAACACTGGCTCTATCTTCACTGTGTAGTCAGCTTTCTATTACTATAATTGAAAGTTGTTATCATCAACTTACAAAGAGAAAAGGTTTATTTTGGCTCATAGTCCATGATCCTTTGGTACTTTTGCTTTTGGGCTTCGGTCAAGCAGCACGACATGGTGGGAACATGTGGTAGAGCAAGCTGTGCATGTCATGGCAGCCAGAAATTGAAGGAAAGAGGAAGGGACAACATCCCACTATCGCCTTCGAGGGCACACCTTAGTGATCTAACTTCCTCCCCTAAGGTCCCAGCTCTTCATGTTTTTACTACCTCCTACTGGCACTATGCCTTTAACACAGGACAATAGGGGACATTTCAGATCCAAACTATAGCACTCCCCAACTAGGCTTAAGACTGTTTGCACCTAGAATTCAAGGTTTTTGACAGCTTGTCCCAGAATGCTGTCAGAAACTTAACCATGTAGGTTCAGCATGGCTAGAAAAGGGCCAGGTGGGGTACCCAGGGCAGGAGTCCTTGCCTGAGTTTAAGATACATACTAAGCACAACTTCTTTTCATAGGGTTTTATTTTACCCGTGAGTTTCCTTGATTTCTAGTTTTTAGGAAGCTGACTTTCAAAGAACTCTTAGACAAGGTTTCTTACCAAGATTCCTGTAATACTAATTTTGCCAGTGGAAGAGTGCTTGCCTAGCACGTATGAGAAACCAGGTTCAATCCCCAGCAATGACACAAAAAATCAGTTTACCAAGACCAGCTTTGCAGTACTTCACAAATAACTAGCACTTTGTAGGCAGAGGGACTCTGATAGAATAGTTCCCTTTTGAGCAAATTCATTCACAACAAATTCCCAGGCTAAGGGGATGACTGAGAGTCCCACTCTCTTCCTCCACCTTCTTCTCTGGTCCTACCCAGTTCTCTTAAGCGGATAAAGCAAATGACTGAGTTCTTAACAACAAAGCGAGAGGACAGTTTTCAAAAGACATTTAAAATGGAGGCATTCTAACTTTCTGATGACTTCGATGGGGCAAGTAACAGTTTGGCAAGTGTTACTTAGATGTAATCTAAACCACTTTGGTTTTTAAGTTTAGCCATTTAAGATGGAGCTGGGATGCCTTGTTTGGTCTCCTTCCTCTTTGTTAAGAGCCAAAGTGTAGAGGATTTGGGGTGCGGCTAACCCTCATGCCCATTATGCACTGGAGGGCGTTAACCCACCTGGGGATTTCGCAGACCTCTCTCTAACCTTTACTTTGCTGGTAGATGGAGAAGTTGCTTAGTATCTTTGGACCTGTTTGTACCTCTGTGAAACAAGCAAGTTCAGCCTCCATGACTTAGAATTTTGCTTGTAAAATTCTGACCATTTCTTGGAGGGTAGGTGGGAATCCTTGACAAATTAATTTTCCAGGAAGTCCTTCACAGTGACCACGTCAGCTCTGGCTCTTAAATTACCCATATTTCACCGGAGGTGTGGAGATCTGGAACCCAGCTGACCCGGGGAGCATCCTGCAGTTACAGGATGCCTGTCCAGGGCTTGATAACCAACACTGGGGCAGATGGATTTCGTGTCAAGCCCTCTCTTTGAGTAGACAAACTATCACTACTCAAATAATAAGGTCCGCGAATGACGACACCTGTGGGGTAGAGCCACGTGTTCAGTGGTACATTTAACCAATTAAATGTGGTTCTGTCTCTTTGAAAACTTTGTTTCACGATTAATCAACTGGGAAGCAATGATGGAGCCAGTCTTGATAGATTTCGAGGTGTTGGCAAATTCTGAAGAAATTATTCACTTAGTATAGAGTTGATCGCTAAGAAATGTTTCCTCACTGTGGAAACATAAACCTCAGAAGTGAGCAGTGCACTGTGAATTTTGTCTGAAACAGGTGTCACTTCCTTGAACCCTCAGCGCAACCGGTACTATACTACTGAAGATGTGGTTGTTAAGATAAAAGGTAAAACACCTTGCACTGTCCCCACCTCACTCACCCACATTAGGCCAGTGAGGCGTCAGCTTTCCCAGGGGAGCTGAAAACTGGGTTTTAGTTGATCTAGCATAAAATCGGGCCTCAGTAAATATTTACTGAATGAATGGGTGCCTGCTTTCCCCATCTTTTGTTTAACTACCCTCCGTTGCTAAGCTCCTATAAAGACACCCAAATTCTGCCTACTGCACTGCAGTGTGGATGCTGGATGGGTGGAAGGGGAAGCGGTTAGGAAGGAGTAAGGGAAGGCAGCGGATGCAACACGTTAGCGAAGAAAAAGAAATCCTTAGAGACGCAGGGGCAACAAAGAGTCAAACGCAGGCGAACCCGAGCGGGAGCCCGGGTGCCCAAGATCCGCCGCGAGAACGGCCTCTCGCGGGGCGCGGTCCCCGTTGCCGGCCAGCTCCCGGCCTGGTGCCCACAGCCCCGCACCCGGCGCTCGCTCGCCGCTCCCGCCCCCGGGGCGGTGCCGGGAACACGCGGCGCCTCCGCCGGTCACGTGGGGGCCGCTCCGCCGGGCCGCGCTGCCGCTTCCCAATCGCGCCCTCCCAGCGACGGGGACGCGGCGCTCGCTCTCCCGCCCGAGCCCCGGGGAGACCGAGACGAGGAGGCTTCGCCGCCCCCTCCTCGCCGCTGCGCCCCGGCCCTACGTCCGCAGCATGCCGGCCGGAGAACCGAGCGCCGCCCTCCTTCCGGAGCTCGCGGAGGCGACGCCGCCGCCGGCCGCGGGGCCGCGGCTGCGAGGGTAGCGGGGCCGGAGTCGGCACCGAGGCGCCGCGAGGCGGGCGGAGCAGGGGAGGAGCAGGCATCCTTCGCGGCGCGGCGGGCGGCGGCCCTGCTGCCCGGCGCGCCCATGGCCTGGGAGCTCGGAGAATGCGAGCTGCACCGCGCACCGGCCGCAGCCTCCCCTCGCGTGGCGCGATCGGCGCCCCCCAGAGCTGCTCGCGTCGCCGCCGCGCCCCAGCCGCGGGCGCCCGGCTGCTGGCTGCGCTAGGACCGACAGCCGCCGGCCGCCCAGGGGTGGTGGCCAGGGAGGAGCGCGAGCGACAGGGCCCGGGAGACGGGCGCCGGCCCGGGCGCAGCGCGGCATGCAGCTGCGGGCTCCCGCGTGAGGGTGTCGGCCCGGGGCCCCGCCATGGCTGGGAAGGACAGTGGCAACCTGAAGACGGTGAGGCTGTGGCGGGACGCCGCCCTGCGCGCCAGGAAGCTGCGGAGCAACCTGCGCCAGCTCACCCTCAGTGCCGCGGGAGGCTGCCCGGGGGCCGGAGCCGACCCGCTGGAGTCCCCCGATTCCCCCCAGCTCGTGCTGCCGGCCAACATCGGGGACATTGAGGTGCTGAATCTGGGGAACAACGGCCTGGAGGAGGTGCCTGACGGGCTGGGGTCGGCCTTGGGCAGTCTGCGCGTCCTGGTCCTGCGTAGAAACCGCTTCGCCCGACTGCCCCCTGCGGTGGCCGAGCTCGGCCACCACCTCACTGAGCTGGACGTGAGCCACAACCGGCTGACCGCCCTGGGCGCAGAGGTGGTGAGCGCCCTAAGGGAGCTGCGCAAGCTCAACCTCAGCCACAACCAGCTGTCCGCCCTGCCCACCCAGCTGGGCGCCCTCGCCCACCTGGAGGAGCTGGATGTCAGCTTCAACCGGCTGGCGCACCTGCCGGACTCCCTCTCCTGCCTCCATCGCTTGCGTACCCTCGACGTGGACCACAATCAGCTCATTGCCTTTCCCCGGCAGCTGCTGCAGCTGGCGGCCCTGGAGGAGCTGGACGTATCCAGCAACCGGCTGCGAGGCCTACCTGAAGATATCAGTGCCCTGCGTGCCCTCAAGATTCTCTGGTTGAGTGGAGCCGAGCTTGGAACTCTGCCCAACGGCTTCTGCGAGCTGGCCAGCTTGGAGAGTCTCATGCTAGACAATAACGGGCTGCAGGCTCTGCCTGCCCAGTTCAGCCGCCTGCAAAGGCTCAAAATGCTTAACCTCTCTTCCAACCTCTTTGAGGAGTTCCCTGCTGCGCTGCTGCCCCTGGCTGGTCTGGAGGAACTCTACCTTAGTCGCAACCAGCTCACCTCAGTGCCATCCCTTATCTCTGGGCTGGGCCGGCTTCTCACCCTGTGGCTGGATAATAACCGTATCCGCTACCTGCCAGACTCCATTGTGGAGCTGACCGGCTTGGAGGAGCTGGTGCTTCAAGGGAACCAGATTGCAGTACTGCCTGACAACTTTGGCCAGCTGTCTCGAGTGGGCCTGTGGAAGATCAAGGACAACCCACTGATCCAGCCCCCCTACGAGGTCTGCATGAAGGGGATCCCCTACATTGCAGCCTACCAGAAGGAGCTGGCTCATTCCCAGCCCGCTGTGCAGCCCCGCCTCAAGCTTCTCTTGATGGGCCACAAGGCTGCTGGAAAGACCTTGCTCCGTCACTGTCTCACGGAGGAGACAATGGAGGGCAGCCAAGGAGGAGGGGACAAAGAGAAGAGCTACCCACCTTCTCCTCCCCCTGGGAGCAAGGGCATCGAGGTGACAAGCTGGACAGCGGATGCCTCCCTCGGCCTGCGGTTCATTGTGTATGACTTAGCTGGGGATGAAAGCTATGAGGTGATCCAGCCCTTCTTCCTGTCCCCAGGGGCCCTGTATGTGCTGGTGGTCAATTTGGCCACCTATGAACCACGCTGCTTTCCCACCACAGTGGGCTCCTTCTTGCATCGGGTGGGGGCCCGTGTGCCTCATGCCGTGGTGTGCATTGTGGGCACTCACGCGGACCTGTGCGGGGAGCGGGAGCTGGAGGAGAAGTGTCTGGACATTCACCGCCAGATCGCCCTGCAGGAGAAGCATGATGCAGAGGGCCTCAGCCATCTAGCTCAGGTGGTGGATGAGGCCCTGGCCCAGGACTTTGAACTGCGCTCTGCCAGCCCCCATGCAGCCTACTATGGGGTTTCGGACAAGAACCTGCGGAGGTCCAAGGCCCATTTTCAATACCTGCTCAACCACCGTCTGCAGATCCTCTCCCCGGTGTTGCCTGTTAGCTGCAGGGACCCTCGCCAATTGCAACGCCTTCGGGACAAGCTGCTCTCGGTAGCTGAGCACCGAGAAATCTTCCCCAACTTGCATAGAGTCCTGCCGAGATCCTGGCAGGTGCTGGAGGAGCTGCACTTCCAGCCACCTCAGGCCCAGCGCCTTTGGCTGAGCTGGTGGGACTCGGCTCGCCTGGGCCTGCAGGCAGGTCTGACTGAGGACCGGCTGCAGAGTGCCCTTTCTTACCTGCATGAAAGCGGCAAGCTGCTCTACTTTGAGGATAGCCCCGCCCTCAAGGAGCATGTCTTCCACAACCTCACCCGCCTCATCGACATCCTCAATGTCTTTTTCCAGAGGGATGCCTCCTTGCTGCTGCATAAACTGCTCCTGGGGACCAGTGGAGAGAGTGAGGGCGAGGGAGATAGCTCCCCAGTGATGGCGCTGCCTAGCCCGGGCCAGGACCTGCTCCGGGCCACCCAGCTCCATCATTATGTGGAAGGCTTTCTGCTGCATGGACTCCTGCCAGCCCATGTCATTCGATTGCTGCTTAAGCCTCATGTCCAAGCCCAGCAGGACTTGCAGCTGCTGCTGGAGCTGCTGGAGAAGATGGGACTCTGTTACTGCCTCAATAAACCCAAGGGCAAGCCTTTGAATGGGTCCACAGCTTGGTACAAGTTCCCATGCTATGTGCAGAATGAGGTGCCCCATGCAGAGGCCTGGATTAATGGGACCAACCTAGCCGGGCAGTCTTTCGTGGCTGAGCAATTGCAGATCGAGTATAGTTTTCCTTTTACCTTTCCACCTGGGTTGTTTGCACGCTACAGTGTCCAGATCAACAGCCATGTGGTGCACAGGTCGGATGGTAAATTTCAGATCTTTGCATACAGAGGGAAGGTTCCTGTGGTGGTGAGTTACAGACCTGCCAAGGGGGTCCTGCAGCCAGACACCCTGTCCATTGCCAGCCATGCATCATTACCAAATATATGGACCGCATGGCAAGCCATCACCCCTTTGGTGGAGGAACTGAATGTCCTACTTCAGGAATGGCCTGGACTGCACTACACCGTGCACATCCTCTGTTCTAAGTGCCTTAAGAGAGGGTCGCCCAATCCACACGCTTTCCCAGGTAAGCGGAGAGAGGGCTGCCTCTTCCGTGGTGCGTTTCAAGTTGCATTTTTGGAGACATTTATTACTCATGCGACAGAGAGTTTACTTAACACTCACAGGCTTCCCAGGAAAGCTTTTCAAGGGTAAATATAGGGATATCTGGGGACAAGCCCAAGGAAGTAAGTACCTGAGCAATACGAAATACATATGTGTATGACATGTGAAATACATGAGACTCGTGTCATCCTCTCCTCACAGGAAGACTCAGACTTCCAAAATCAAAACATCTCCCATTTCCCTTTCTTTCTTCTCCATTCAGCCACATTTTGTGCAAGGAGATTTCAGGTGGTTAAACAGAAGCTGGGATGTGTGTGACATTGGCCACTTGCTCATCTTTGCTGTCATGCATATAGACAGATGTGGAATGGAGGTGTCTGAGTTGTGTCGGTGGTCGTGTTCTTTTGTTTAAATTCAGAGCGTAGTAATCATCGGTTCACAGTGAGGACTTACTTTTCCTAAGACATTCCAGAGAAGGCGGCTCTGTAGTTGGGTGAGTGATGGATGAGTAAAGACAAACATTTCAGACTAATGCATGACTAAATCCTGAGATTGCTGTTTCAGCCAGCACACTCCAGGGCATGACACGAGATGACTGAAGTCTCGGGGGGAGTTTCCTCCGGTATTTCCTGGCAATTTGAACTTTATAGACATCTTAGGATTTGTTTCTTGGGAAATGTAAAGAGATGGGGCTTTCTGGCAGTGGTTTATCAGAGATGGAAGGGACAAAAAAAAAACTGACAAGAATCTTCTGGGAAGTGTTTTCCAATGGATTTTATTTTTCTTTTGTAAACCATTATAGGCAAAGTGGGAGAATTCTAGGACTAGTTGTCTGGGATTTTTTTTTTTTAAGACTTTATTTTTTTAAGAGCAATTTTAAGTTTTCAGCAAAACTGAATTGAAGGCATGGAGACTTTTCTCATGCCCCCTACTCCCATACATACATACATAACTTTCCTCCCCACTCTGTTGTCCACACCCTGCACCAGAGGGGTGCCTTTCTTCAAATGCACGAACCCGCATCAACACATCTTACCACTCAATAAAGTGTCCAGTTTACACTAGAGTTCACTCTGTGGTACATTCTGTGGGTTTGGGCAAATGCATAATGACATGTTTCCACCACTGTAGTGTCATCCTGAGTAGTTTCACTGACCTAAAAATTCTCTGTGCTCCACAAATTTTTCCTTCTCTCACCTCTCCCCTCAATCTTGGCAACCACTGATCTTTTTACCTTCTACATAGTTTGCCTTTTCCTTGTCTGGGACTTTTTGAGGCTGGGTTAGTATGTCTCAAACAGGTCTTTGGCTGGGAAGTGTCTGTTTCCTCATCTTTTGTGCATCAGGCTTGGTTAACAGCATTACAAGTGTCCTAAGCACAAACCCTGTTTTCCACCTGGGTCTGCCACCCCTAGAGTACACTGAAAAGTGATGAAATGGAAGACTGAAAGCCATTGTGATCTTTGTCCTGGCCTGAGTGGCAACAAGAATGCAGCTCCTTATAGTATCAGGAAGGAACTGGATACCAATATTTCCAAAGGTAATGGCTTCCTGTTGCCCCAGATCTAGGCTACGTTTAATTTTTCAGCTTGAAAAAAAAGCCACCATATTCGGTTACCAGTCAACTGAGCCATTCATTCTGTATGATTATCTGGCATCTTGTCACAGTCTCTGGCTTGGTGGACTCTTTGGTTTGTTTTATAAGTGACCATTGTGTTTTCTTCATGGAAGTAAGATACTGTTTTATTGTGTTACTAAGTTGTATAGAGTGGTGGTTGGGAGGTGGGAGGTAAGGTTCACGGGGTAGTTTACTGAGGCTTAGTCTAGTCATGGATCACTAGTAAAACTAGTGGTACTGGGGCTGTTGGAGTGGCTCAAGTGGTAGAGCGCCTGCCTTGCAAGCATGACTCCCTGAGTTAAAACCCCAGTACCACCAAAAATCTCCCCCAAAAACCACAAAAAATGCTAATGGTGTTAACAAAGGGAAAGACATAGGTTATTGAACAAGTAAAGATCTGTGCAGAGGAATTGCAAGAACTGTGAGAAGTAAACAATGTGGCTGGAGGTTTTTTGTTTTTTTTTTTTCCCCTAACTTCAGTTCCTTAATTTTGATTTTAAACAGTCATAAGTTCCACATACTAGCTTGTATTGAGGTGTAGAAACAAGCTCATTCTCTTGTTATGTTTTGCCTATATGCCTTTCAGATGAGACACACCTGGTTGGCCACCCAGGCAATAAGGAAGAGATTATTTTTTCATGGAGAAAAACAAAAAAATGGTTGAAAAATTGTAAAAATCTTCTGTATTAAATAGGAATAAATTATCAGTTTTTAAAAATAATACACATAGTATATTTCTGTTATCTTTTTGTTTTGTTTAAGCTTTTTTTGGGGGGGCAGTACTGAGGTTTGATAGTTTTTTTGGGGGGCAGTACTGAGATTTGATAGTTTTTTGGGGGGCAGTACTGAGATTTGAACTCATGCTTACTAGGCAGGCACTCTACTACTTGAGCCACCAGACCTAGAATTGTATTTTTTCCAAAAGTAACCAAAGACTCAGAACAGTGGGGAAAGGTAATATAGTGCATTTTTTGTTATACTGTGATGACAAGGGAAAAACATGTTCTGTTGAACATGTTTTTGTGATATCCATTGATTATTAGTAATTGTCAAAATTCTGAAAGATTTGGTAAGAACTAAAATAATAAAAACTAGAGGGTGACAGAGGAACAATTATGATGTTGGATGTTGTTAGTTAGACAAACGTTAAAATATATTCCTTGAATCCCTAGGTTATTAAAACATTTCGGTTCAGCAGAAACCTTTGAATGTATGAGTCCCTTTTTCTCTTCCTATGAAGTCATTTTGCTTTTTAAGAACAAAAAGTTGAGTGCTATGTTTTACATTTAATTAAAGTATCAGGTTCTCTCGTAAAAACTGTGATGATTTTATATAAAATGGTGCAAAAAGTGAATTTTTAGTGTTTTCAGTTTTGGAACATTAAAGAGTAAAATCCACAACTATCTTGATGTTCTACAGAATAAACGTGTAGTGGTATCAGTCAGTGTCTTTGAAAATGTTTTTATGTGAAAAGCCTGTTTTGGCTCTGTCCTTCTGACCTCTCTGGTCTGAGCTGAGGGATGTGGAATGCTAGATTTCTCCTTTCCTATTTCAGTTTTAGAAATGTAATGTTCTGCACAACCATCCACCAGCATCATTGGCTTTAAGAATTCTTATAGAAAAGGTCTAATCGCACTGTCAGATTGCCAGCTAAGATGGTTGGGTTGGGTGACAGGAGATTGTTTGGGGAACTCAAAGGAGGTCTATAGTGATGCTGAAATGTCACTTAAATGTTACCGGGAAAGGCTCTACCTGCTCTCTCTATGGACTTCTGCCCATACCCCATGGACCTCCTCCTTTCCTGCTCTTTCTGCTGATTACTTGGTCCCGTGTTCTTATACCAAAGCATGTTTCTTCCTGTGGGATATTTACTTATGTGTTTATTCTATTCTACCAATATGATGTTTAAACCAAAAAAGTCAAGTCCAACTCCTGGACGATGTATTGAGAAAGGCTCGGCTAGAATGCAGGCCTGCTGCAAGTCTGCAGTGCTTTGATATTGCATTTCAACAACTGAATGACTGCTGTGTGGTTTTAAGTTGAAAGAGTAAAGACCGGGTCTTAGTGGGTGCAACTTTTATTGATTTTGAGCTTTCACTAAGATCAAATTATGAAACCAAATTATGAAAGGCCATTTTGAAGACTTATGAGAAAGCCACCCCCATCAGTAGACTGCATTAGTTGTATATTTATTTATTTTTTTAAACTGTGAAGCCTTTCATTTACCCACAACTCAGTGTCTTTCCGTATCTCCCCCCGGGGCCTTTGTCCTGTCTCTGGTTCCTCACACAGGGTGTGGACCTGTCTGCCTATACTAAGACATTTTGTCTTATGTCATAGCATCTCTTTGATTAGATTGTTCACTTGCTTCCTCTAAGCAGGGAGACACGCCTGATGCTTTGTAGTCTCTGGGAGCGTCTCTCAGGTGTTTGTTGAATGAGTGCTTGGTCTTTTGTGAGAAAATGTTTTCCACATTATTCTCATGCAGTGTTAAGTCCCCAGGTAGCTCTGTGATGATCTTGCCTTGCTCTGTTTCCCACCCGAAATGCTCTCTCAGCCTTCCTATTATGCCTGTGCTACTGCTCTGCCCTTGAATGGGACCCTCATTTTGACCACTGAAGCAAAGCAAAATCCTGGCCTTATTATAGTAAAGTTTTAGAATTGCTGGAATTTGAGCATGACCTAGTTGTTTGGATTGAATTAGTCATTGTTTTTAATTCACAAAGGTTACTCAATATCTTTTTAGTTTAGCTTTATTAATATTGGCTTTTATTTCTGTAAACAGAGTTCTTTGAACTCCCTGGGACTTTGTTTCATTTAAAAATTAAAACCTTAATCACGCAGTGGGGGAAAGAAATACTGTGTGGAATAGAATTTAAAAGAGTGTTGTAATTATTTGAAGTATTAGGTGCTGCTTATTTAGGCTCTGAATATTCTGGAATAGATTCTCAAGTCCATGCCTGAGGTGGCTTAGAATTTCCTGGGGAAAGTAGTTTTTTATTTGCTGATACGCATGTCATAGTCTGCTGCCTGCTCCTCACCCCTGTAGTAGACTTGCCTGTTGTAGCTCTTATCATGTACTTCATCTTAACACTGAAGACTTTTGTAGGGTGCACATCTCAGGGTTGTGGGGGACTGAGTGGGAGGGGGACTGAGTGGGAGAATGGCTTAGGAAGACAGTTCCCTGTGCTGGAAAGTAGTGAGGGGCTTCCTTCCACCCACTGCACAGGAAGAGGTGATTGGGGAAGGCTGGTGGTGGAGTGGACATTTCTGGCTGCCTTCTCCATCCACTCCTTTGCGAGGCCTGATCATCCATCCATTAGGGTGCTTTCTGTTTTGTTTTTT